ACAATTAAAAACAAAAAATACAAGACAGAATCCTGAAGAACATTGTAGCTCACGGAAAGGCTTTGAGAGTAGGCTCATGCCATGCTAATAAGGGCATAAATACAACGGTAAACTGCTTAATAGGGAATTCCACCAATTTCTCAAAATTTATGCATAATTAAATCATTGTCATTCAGAGTAGCTTGATGTAAAATGGTGCACTGTAAAGAAACTTATCGATTCACGATATATTTATATTAGTGGTAACAGGAACCAGGGGTCATGGTGTTTACAATGCAACTATAGCAGTTTTATTTACTATCCAAAATGCTGAGTGAACCTACACAGGTCTTCTGAGTATTTTTTATAAAATGAAATGTAATGTTGATGATAAAATAGTGGTAATGCATGTAGACCATGAATTAATGTTTTAGACCAAAACATTCTCAAAACTATAATAAAGCAATGTCTCAGACATTGGGCAACATATTCCTAATCATTTTGTGTAAACTCCTCACGTCTGGTTTCTATCACCACCACTGTGAACAATTCTGACTCTGTCAATTTCTCTACAATGGACCATTTCACACCAACCCACTCTGAATGACTTCGTTTACATCTTAACCATTTAATTATGTGGTAAGTTTAAAATGCAGCATAAGTAAAAGCCAATCCCCTCCAACTAAGCTTCGACACAAACCCACTTCAAGCTGGAAAATTAGCTCCTTTTCTTATCTAATCAAACAGTTTTACAGCAAGTTTACACACAGTATATGTTCATTGCAAAAAAAATCACAAGTTGTTCCCTGTCACACATCCCTCCAACAGGGACTTCAGTTCCCATAATCCCTCGGATGATCATGTGACTCTTTCTGCTCAACACACCTGTTCTGTTAGTCATGTGATCTATTTAGTTAGCTTTATAAGCCTGGGCTTTAGCTTAGAAACTTTGTGAGGTATTGATGCTGTTACCAGAGTTACTGAGCGTTTCACTGTGCATTCCGGTTTGTTTTTCCTGTTGATTGACCACTGCCTGTTTGTTATGTCTCCGCTTTTCTGCCTTATGCCTTTGACTCTGTTATGATGCTGTTTTGCTGGTTTTGGATTGTTTTGGACTTCAACTTTTTATTGACGACTTCCGAGCCCCCTCAAACTAGTAAAGCCCCTTCAACTTTTACAGTCCACATGCGTCTTCATTCTGTCCTGTTACATTACCTCTGTCTCAGAGAAGAGTTTCCTTCAGTCACCGTTACTACAGTGCAGGAGTTGCTCTGCAACTATCATGGTTGGATAGTAATGAATACATATAACACCATTATGTAATTAGGATGCAAAAAATGGTAACTGTATTCCATTACTATTGCAGAAAAAAGACAGTTATCAGATTATAGGTACATTATAAAAGCGTGGGAAAGAGATAATTAAGCTGTGGCCATGACTTACTAAGGCGTGGGAATGAGATCCTAATGTGTGGCCACGACTTAGTAAGGCGTGATCTCATTCCCACGCCTTACTAAGTCGTGGCCACACATTAGGATCTCATTAGTAAGTCGTGGCCATGCATTATTTTTATTTATACAGGATGTCACCAGCAGGGCTCCGTAGCAGCTATTTTTCCAAGGATATTTGAATCAGGTGTTTATCCTGATTTGCCATATTACCTGTTTCTACAGCAGAAAACTGTTCTGAGTCCTTTATTAACCATGGTTGCTCCATTAAATTCTACAGCTGACTGGATATAAATTAAACTTTTTGAAGTGAGCTAATATTACCTAATAATTCCAAAATATGAAAAGAGAGAAAAGTCTTGTGAGCAGGAAAGTTAGTTTCATTTTTTCAAATTAACAATTTCTTTCTTCAAAAACCTTTGAGTGATGGGAGCAAAATGTTAATATGTGTAAATTATCATTATTTCTAACTAAAAACATCATCTCCCACTTTGTTTTCATGTGAAACTGTTCCTGTTTAAATTTGCAGGACACTTTTGTATGGGCTGCTGAAACTGTGGAGAGTTAAGAGAGTGTCTACACGATGCACTAATATGAAGCCTTATGAGCCGGTACAGGCCTTAAGCAGATAAACCACAGATGATGCCTAGTCAGAGGTTTTAGAATGGCCTCTATTTGGAATTATTGTTAATGAACTTGTGCCTGTTTTCTCTGCTCATGAGCACACTCGAACTCCAACAATGTATACTGAGCAAATTTGTCATCTTTATGTTAGAAATATTTTCGTATATTGCTCCACTTAGATTAGTCCATTTCGCTAAATATGAGATCAGCAACTGTCGGTCTTAGGGACAATATCAGCTGCTCCACACTTATTTTGAATAGCCGATTCCCGAATGGAAGTACTTAGGCTGAAATAAAAGAGATTCCCAACCTCATCTAAACAGGCCAGACTTGATTTTCATTCAGGAACAACTCTAAAATATTTATAGTTTATTTGTGAAGATTTTATTTCAAAGCAACTGTTTCTACTGGCTAGTTTCTAGATTTTCAAACAGAATCAGCCAGTCACAATTTTAATAAAGCCCAACTGGCTGGGTCTTGTTCAAAAGCAGGGACAGTGGGATAGCTTTAAGTGATGTTTGGATGATGTCTTTCTGAATAACGTATTGAAAAGGACTACTGGGTTTTCTGTTGTATAGTTAGTATAATCAGGTTTTACAGGGCAATGCAGAGGTAATGAGTAGTGAGGTTACTTTTCTCAGGAATCTTTAAATAAAGTAACCCCATTACATTTTGACAGAAGTAACTTTTAATGGATTGTCTTATTTGAGTAACTACAAGCTATGAGTGAGAAATACTTTATATTGAATTATAGCATGCCTTTGTCTTCACTGGTCATAACTGTGACTCCTCTGTTGTATATTCTACCATAATACTGCTGCAATTTATATTTAAATAAGGATTTATCAGAATTGAGCCTTGTAACAATGGAGGATAACAGAAAGTGTTGATAGTAAAAAATGACACACTATTCTATTACATCTAATGCTGCACTATACACTACAGGACAATATATAGTTTGCTGTACCCCGATTAGTTAAATTAAAGACTCCAGGGCTGTGCAAGATGAGTTTGTAGGGAAACACCATAAGCCAGGAACACGGCCAGTATGTGACAGGGAACACTCCCGCTGACCTCGCCTCTGACGTTCACTACAGCTGCACCATCTGGACCGAGCAGAACCCGACACTGCGGCTATTATCGCCCAGCACAAAGAGGCTGGCCCCATGCCAGAGCACCACCATGAGTTTCTACAACAGTAACACCACTGTACTCCACCATCATACTGCTGCTCTGTAAATACAAACAGGCTCACTGTATTCTACCATCATACTGCTGCACTGTAAATCCATATAGACTCACTGTATTCTACCATCATACTGCTGCACTGTAAATCCATATAGACTCACTGTATTCCACCATCATACTGCTGTACTGTAAATCCATATAGACTCACTGTATTCTACCATCATACTGCTGCACTGTAAAGCCATATAGACTCACTGCATTCTACCATCATACTGCTGCACTGTAAATCCAAACAGACTCACTGTATTCTACCATCATACTGTTGTTCTGTCTATACAAACATGCTCACTTATTCTGCCATCATACTGCCACACTGTAAATATGAACAGACTAGCTATATTCTACCATAATACACTGTAAATACAGACAGACTCACTGTATTCTACCATCGTACTGCTGCACTGTAAATCCAGACAGACTCACTGTATTCTACCATCATACTGCTGCACTGTAAATCCAAATAGACTCACTGCATTCTACCATCATACAGCTGCTCTGTAAATACAAATCGGCTCACTGTATTCTACCATCATACTGCAAAACTGTAAATACAAATAGAATCACTGTATTCTACCATCGTACAATACAAATAGACTCACTGCATTATCATACCGCTGCACTGTAAATACAAATAGATTCACTGTATTCTACCATCATACTGTTGTTCTGTCAATACAAACACACTAACTGTATTCTACCATCATACTGCAACACTGTAAATATGAACAGACTAGCTATATTCTACCATAAAACACACTCACTCTATTCTGCCATAATACTGCTGCAAGAAACCCCAAAAGCCTAAATATACTGGTGAGTCTAATCAGTACCAATACACCACATTACATCACTTTATTACTAATGTAGCTAGAGTCACTGCATTACATCACAACACCGCTTCAGAAGGCTAATATTATATTACCCACTACGTTACATCACAACACTCATCCAGTGTCGCAAGAGTCACTAATTCACAATACCAGGTGCTGCATTTTGGTCTCATATAGTGTGGATTTGAAAAATGGGGAGATTTAAACCAGAAGACATATGTATGGTATAGATTTTGGTTTGTGTTATAAAACAGAATATCATAGGCAGGTAGATCGTTCTGTCACGAAGATTTCAATGGTGAAACACTTGATCCAGAACACATAGTTCCTCCCTCGATACAGAACGAGGCCTGCGCTAATGCTTGTGCTGCCCCATTTTAAACAAGGGACAAAAACATTAGAACAAGAGTGGCACGGTCTGTTGCTTCTGAGCACAGAATAAGAGGATCTCAAGCAGTGTTTTTCCCCAACATCTGTTCTACCATGTACTATTCTACCATGATGTATTGAACACTTGCTTCTGAAAAAAATTTGACATGGAAATGGAGCAATGAAACAAATGTGACATTGATAATATCTCTGGATACAATGTGGCAATAATAACCAAGAAACTGTTCAGAAATAATAGCTAATAAAGGGTAAGTTTGACCAAATATGCTAACAACGAATGAAAGCTAGGCCTACTTAGCAAAAGATGATGCTGACTAAATTTCATTCACTGTTAGCAGCATTAGCACAGTTGGCCAAACTATCCCTTTCCATTTCCATCACATATCCTTCATCTATGTCCTAGACACTTTAATTTCCCCACACGACCGTGGCATAATCTGTTGTGGTAGGCTACAGAAAAAGAAAGAAAAAAGATGCTAACCACTTTGTCCTCCTGTTGTGATTCCACAGGGGGGGAGAAAAGGAGAGAAAAGAGAGGGGAAGGACTGTGAGTGACATTAAGACACACACATACACACCTACACACTGTTGTTTCAGTGCCTTCGGCCTTCTGACCAACAGCCCATGATTCAAAACCAGCAGCAAATTCCAGCTTATAAACACATTAAGAAGAACAGTTCAGTCAATAATGCTAATGTTGCTAACACTGGATGAAAGCCAAGAGTCACTAATTAGCTTTATGAAAATGACATAGTGGCCACTAGATTCCATTCACTGTTAGCAAAATTAGCACGTTTGGTCGAGCTGTTTAAAGTTTAGATAGAACAAACATCAGTGTCCTCAAGCCAAGACATGTTAAGGTCAGAGAAAGAGGCAGCGTCGCCCTCTTGTGGTCATTAAACTAACTGCACTGGCTTGAGTTGCCCCCAACTTCCACTATCTGACTTCAACCCAAGTGAGCAGCCGAGAAAAGGCGTCTTTCGTCAAAGTCTCCTGTGTCTTAATCCAAATGTAAGTCCAGGCATGTTTGTACTCATCCAATGAGTTAATGAGTTCAGTGCACTGAGATAAGAAGAAGTGCCAGATCAGAAATGGAAGACAACAAATATGAAAACAATAGGAATGCCTTTTCTTTCATCAGGACTTCAGGGCTGCAGGCCTGAGGTGAAAAAGGGAGGAGCACGAAAACACTGATGACTATACACTCATCAAGTAATGGACTACACTTGCAGTGCATATATTAGCTGTTCACCAAAGTTTGCATTGTTGAGATCATCTTAACTATTGGAGAAAATGGTTAAAGGGGCATTCCGGCCTTAGATTTCCATTTAATATGTTATTTGCTATTTTATGTAGTATGGTAGGGCAGTACTGCACTCTTAAGCCTCATTGGTTTGACAGAATCCACAGTTTTGTATCATCCATCAGTGTTTTCTCACTACAATGCCCAGCATGCATTGGGTAAATACGCATGCTTGGTATTGTGGTATTGTAGCACACAATCAATGGGATTCAACAAATCTTGACTGCTGGCAATCGATCTAGAGGCTAATTAATAAATCTGTGTTGCTAGCAAGTGCTAATACACATATATATATATATGTATATATATATATATATATATATACATATATATATATATATACTGCTGCAGCACTGCTGTAAGAAGTGAGCAGGCATGTTTACGACAGTCAAAAGCAACAGGTGAAGTGTTTTTTTTTTTTTTGGCCGGATTGTCCTTTTAGACTGACTCTTGCTTACCATTTAGTGGTACAATGGTAAAATCAAACTTGTTGAATGATTAAATTACCTACTTAAGCAAAGTCATATCCAAAAGTTCTTATCCTAAATTTGCTGTCATGAAGTGCCTGTAATGTTACATTCACACTGAATATTCAAGAAATGTCTGCTATCGCCAGATTAGCACAAGGGACTGTATGTCGCAGTACAGTCAGGTGCAAATGCCTGATTCCAGCCTAGAAAACTGTTTATCCTCAATATTTATTGTGTTACTCTTTACCTGTATTAATTCTAATGCTGGTGTTTTTCTCAACACTCATTTCTTAGATAAATATACTATTTTTCTCAGGCAGCCTGAGGGAAAAGCCATTAGCATTAACACTAGCAGGCCCGGTCGTACCTTGTTGGAGCGGAGTGACACCCGTCCCCCGCAGCGGGCGCAGAACTTGGTTTGGCAATACGAACAGAGGTGGCCGCAGCCATCGGCAAACTTGGTCTTGTGGCAAATTCCGCAGGTGGGCGCCTCGCCCTTCTGCTCCGGGGCAGTCTGGGCCTCGTCCGCCATCTTCTTCACCTGGTCCTTATACGACTCGAACTGCTGGTGCAACTTCCTGCAGGAAACCAGACACAACATATCAGAATACAGCAAGAGGAACACAAATCAGCACCGTCATGTCATAATTTAGTCCTTTCGATCATAGTTCAATCAACTGAAAACAACAGCTGCACTTTACACTGTGTGAACAATTCACAGCAAATGGACCAACTGAAACACTTGGGTAAAAAATGTAGATGAACATACACCTTTTTCTTTTCTTACAAAGTCACCATTCCAGAAATACTTGTTTTGTTATAACAGAGATCAAACACAGGCTCAAAAACTTAGTGATACTGAAGAATTTTAAATTAAAAATACATTAGGTATATACGCTGTAATATATGTGTAATACAGTATGTACTGTTCAGAAGTTTGGAATGGCTTGTCATATTCATAGGTGTTTATTTACAAAAATAACTCTATACAGTACTTTAAGCTAGACAAAAGATAAAATGTGGTCTGTGCAAAAGTTATATATTATGATTTATTTTTCCCATAAAAACTCGGGCACCAAAATTGGGCACCAAAATTTGCAAAAAATATTTACGTTTTCTCCCGGTAGAGGATAAGTGGATGTGAACTTTATTTGTACACTGAAAATCAATTAAACATACATATGAGTGTGTGTGTGTGTGTGTGTGTGTGTGTGGGTGTGTTTGTGTGTATGAGTGTTTGTGCGTAAAAATTATACATATATATACATATATATATATATATATATATACACACACATATACACCATCAGAGCCATTCCCTCAGATTAAAACCACTCCTTTACTACTACTAGGCGGGGTTTGGCGGAGTGCCAAGCAGTGGTCGAACTTAATTCTACTTTCTCAGGTTCCTCATCGTTTAATGAATCATTTGCGCCTGTGCTTCTATTTCAGGGCCAGCCGTAAGCTAACACCAGCCGCATTCACAGTCCAAAGCACCACCCGCTCGTGTGCAAACGCTGCATTCGCATGGCGGCAAAACGTAATGATGCTCTCTACGTTACAAAATGCTTCTCATGTTCTAGTGTCAGCTAAACAATACAGCAGCAATGACGAAGCAATACTTTAAAAGCTTGTTCAAAGGAACAGCTTGGTGAAAAATCTAATTTACTCACTTTTCCCATTTACTAAAAAAAAAATAACGATAGCCAAAACGAGATCTTTTACTTAGTTTTGCCACAACATGTGAACACATTTGTTGAGTTTGACCCTTCAAACTCTCCATAGTTCCATCCTTCCTGCAATGCCAATGCAATCCAGCCACTGCAATGCCATGAATGTATCACCTAAGGATGTTGAGTCGGAAATATAATTTATAAGCAAAATACACCGTTGACGCCACCAATATCAGTAATATCAGTCACATTAGCATTGGAGGACACATTCAGCAGGCTAAACTGATCCAATCTATGGGCCTATTTATTATAAAATGTTCACACAATTTAAAAAGCAGCAGGTGGTTTCAAAAAAGGAAAGACATTTAATGTCTTTAATTTGTGACAATTTAGAAATTTAGAGATGGAAAATACTGAACTACAATCATTTTGTCACTGACAGCTGCTTCATTAAAAGTTAATTTGTAGAATGTCTGACATCTGTGCTTGATAATGAGTTTGAGCCAATCAGATGCGCTGTTGGTAGGGTGGGTCCAAATAGCCCTACTAGGCAGAAACCCAACATTTCTGCAGTTTCTTTTGATATCATCACTATTATTCCTGGTATGATCAGTGGTAAAAATAAAGGAGTAGGCGTGTCCCAAGACTGGCAATATAAAAGCGAGCGCACTTTGTAGTGCACTACATAGGGAGCAGGGAGCCACTTCAGTGTCAGAGAGTCTACTCTTCTCATTGATTGTGGAACCTTGCATTGACCCAGCAGGAGTCAGTGCTCCAGGGTCAGCGGTCAGAGTTCGAGGGCCAGCCAGTATGTCTGCAACGCTACCTTCGTGCCCGCGTGACGCACATGCATTTTGTATGGCACCTGTCAATCAGCCGCCACCGTGGAAACCGAAGCTTGCGGCGAGCTCCGTAATCTGCCGATTAGGGCAGTTTTGGCCCCTACATCTGCCCCTGCAACATGCATTAGTGGGCTGAATTATTGAGCACCTGTATCTATTTACCGTGTGAACATACTTGGGTGTTAACCAGGAGAGATCAGACCTGCTCTAGACAGAAGCATTTTCATACAGCTGACCACGTGACCAGCTCAACACTGGAGTAAGCGCAGAAAATACTTCAGTGGAGTGAAGCCCAGCAATGTTCATCACTGCAACACATATGTACTCGTACAGTGCCAGAACATTTAAGCCATAACCTTTGATAAACTTCTTCTTTAGGTTCATATTCATAATTCATAAAATGTTTAACAAAATTATATTTGTTTGAAAAATACTTTTAGCACATCAGACTGATGATGGAGAAAGTCTGGAGAAGAATTCCAACCAAACTGCAGGAAAGGTATTATAGAAGTCATCAAAATCTGCTGTTTTTCTTACACTGATGTTGCTGAGCTCGTGTTCACTGATGAAGTCATGAACTCAGAAGCACACAAAGGCATTTTGGATGTCAACCTACAAAAGTCTGCAGAGAATCCACTCAAATAATAAATATATTAAATACATCAGCTGCACTTTAAAAGAATGCCAGACCAGAAAGAAAATGACATGGTCATGGTTTGTTTACAATAAATGTCACTTGGTTTGACATTTTGGCCGTTCACACAGCAGGTAAAAGTGTCCCAAATCTGATTTTCTCCCCAAATCTGATTTTTTTGTTTGATTGTTCAGACTATCTTTTAAATGTGCTCTGTATGCGACATCAGTCTGAACAGATCAGCTCCTAAACTGACCGCATGCTCAAAAGAACAGTGCTTCACATTGCTTCACGTGGCTCATCCTGAGGTAAACAATCATGACTGCCAATGAACGCCAGTCTCTCCCTGGAGGGTTCAGCTTCACGTTCGCCAGCATCACAGGAGCCATCATGAAGCTTCACTGACTGACTGCTGGGCTCATCACCCAGAATGTGTTCGAGCTCCTTTTTTGTGTCCTCGGATTCTTTAAACTTTGCTTTCAGACCTTTAACTGCTCTTTGACGCTGCAGCCTCGTTCTCCTACAGCCGTGTTCGGCCATTTCTTATCAAAAAAGTTTTGATAAGTCTCTTCTAATTTTTTGGTACTGATTTTCTGAGTGAAAATAAGTTAGCACATCATCTACTAAAGGAGATTCTCACTGTACGATGCTGTGCAACCCTCACCTGCATGAACTGACCATCCTGTTGATACTGAATCACATCCATTCCTTAACCTGCTTTTCCCCTTTTCTGTATTTTAATATTTTATATTAATGTTAAACCCATATTCTCTGTTCATACTGCTCTTTTGTTATTGTTTGTTATCCAGTGTCGACCAGAAGAGGACGAGTTCCCCTTTTCAGTCTTGGTTCCTCTCAAGGCACATCTACGATAATTCTATCGTCTGCTAGTGTCCCTATGGGACTCTAGTAGCTTGTTAGCGGAAAGTTAAGGATGACTCACATGGACATTTGAAGCTTGTAAAAGACATTCCTTGTTTTACTTGTGACATATTAGCATATTTATATATGTTTCACAGTGACTCAGTAGAGACCTCTAGTAGTAGTACTGTAATACTTGCAGAGTTTAAATACGAGCATCATTTTATTGAATAAAAATGAACAAAAAATTACAGACGTATTCCCAGAAAACTACTCTGAAGGCCTGAAAGGCCCTGAGGGTTCACTTCTGGTAAATGCAGCACAAAGGGGAACAAATAACTGTTACGGAGGTAACTAATGGCAGACATTTACTGTGTATCCGAATGGGCACTGGACATTTTCAGCTGCTAGCTAAGTGCATAACATCATACATAAGCACAGTTTTAGAAAATGGCTGTACCTCTTAATTTATAAACCAACTATAAACCAAAAGACTTTAAGAGGTTTAAGTTATAAACTGACTTATCTGCAATAGTCCATCAAAAATACAGTTTCATTATTGTATTGTGATTTCACTGATGGACATATATAGTGAAAATATGGGAAATATGAGGTATTGAGGTATAGACAATCATCTGGTGCAATGCTGGACTTCATGCAATCATTGAAAGCTGACCAGTCTGACCTGTTAAGTTAGAGTTACGTTCATGACATGCATTTAAAAAAACATGATTTCAGAGTCTGGCCGAGAGTCACCTAGGGTCGTCTGTCATCATAAATGTCTGCCACTAACTCCTCGTCAGCTCTCTATAGCCTGACCTCCTGTCCCACTGACCTACCCTTTTGGATTATTCTCGCACAGCAACAATGGAATCCACTCAGCACCCCTGATGGACTGATCCAGTAGCTTCAGGTGTGCAAAACATTTTCACCCAAGAACACACTCTTCATCTTCAACACACGATCCACAAGAAGTCAATCAATTTTTCCTGGATTGTAGAAGTAAACCAGGATTTACAGACCACATCATACGTCTTTACTTACTGACGTCACAGCACAGGCCCAGAATAAAAGTCTGTCTCAATATTTAGGTCTCAACTGCAAAGTCTACATTATACATGACAATTATATACATGACAATAGTAGATAATTCATTCACATCCTCGGAAGACACGTCCTTAACAAAGTTTTGACTGAGTTTCTTTTAACTCCCTTTTAATGCGCTTTCAATCCTCAGATTCACACAACCCCCATTACAAAAGGTTTTTCCACATGCGGATGCTATTACACATTTCCACCAGAGAGGTCTCCAAATCCCCAAAAGTGACATAGTGTAGCTTTAAAATCAGCAAATAGCTAGAAGTTGTGCACTAAAATTTATAGAAAATGTCATATTTAAATCTGTTCCCTGTAGAGGATTTGTGTTTATTGTCACTAAGAAAATCAACAAAACATGTCATTTGACAGGAGAGTTTTACATTCTTTATGTCAGAATTTTAATCAAACCAAATCTAGCCTGAAAACATTCTTCCACCAAATAAACCAAATAAAACTCCAAACTTTTAAAG